ATACGTAACAAAATCGACGTTTTATATATATTTTTTTTTGGGTCGTGAAAAATCGATGTTTTTTATGATAATATAACCTTATATATTTCAACATATAGCTTTCTGAGATATATAGTACTGTATGATCTTCTACTTTATTTCAATAATATAAGCCATACCGACTCAACAAAACAGTCGTTGATAAAAAAAAAAAAATTTATGATCCAAAACAAAGGTGTAACATATTTGTGGAAAATGCCGTTCAGGTATCAACACGACGGCGCATGTGCCCACGCGTTGAGTCATGTGACAATCACGTGTGAACTGTGGACGGCTTAAGATTACATTTCTCTAAGTACTAATTAATCCATTTATTGGTTGTCAAGATTCTGAAGGAATAAGTTTTTATATATATTTTTTTTCATATAATAGAATTTTATATTTTTTACGTCGCTTCAGATTATCAACCCGACAAGAAATCATATATATGAAAGAAGAAAGAACTCTTTCCCTCTATGTGACACGTATCCAAAGAAAACCAAGAGTCAATCTCTATTTCCAAACGTTTCATTTTCACAAAATATAACTTCTCTTCTTCATTCTTCAAAGCTTTAAAATTATTTTTCCAAAACAAATCATAATCTTTAAATAAAATAACCAATTTCATAGTAATCGTAGGAAATCATAAGTAGAAAGTGTTTTTTTGTTGAGTTTGTTGTCTCCAGACGACCTTCATCCATGGTTGTAGATGAATATTTTTCAGAAAATATTCCTTGCGGCGACTTAGAAAAATATGGGAATAAGTATGGGTTCATCACGTCTATGAATATAAAGAGTTACGTGTTAGGAAAACATAAATTAAGTTATCCAAAAATATTGACTTGAGAAATACATATAATTTTTTAATAGAAAAATTGTGTCATATCTTATACTTTTTACTATGAACAATATGTTTTTTTTTATTTTTACCGTTTCAAAGTAATAAACATATAAAAATACAAGAAAAATAACATACATAACTTGAATCAAAGAACTGCAAAATCTTTGGTTTTTCAAATACACCAATATAACTAAATTTTTTTTGCAACTAGAAATTATATTTTATTTTACACAATTAAAGAATTCAATTATTCTTAATATAAAATATAATACATAAACCAATATTATAAAAAATAATTTCAAAAATAGTAAAATATATAAACCTGCACGTAATGCGGATACTTACCTAGTATATATGAATAAGAGAAGAAGCCATAGCTCAAATGTTGTGAGCTTATTATATAAACGCATGTGAAACAGATTATAACTGTTTTCGTTAGTCCAATAACACATTTGATGAAAAACAAAAAAAGTTTATCAATTGGTGCAAAATGCCAATATTTTATTAGTATTTTTTAATTCTAAATGAAAATGATACTTGATTAGACTATATAGTAAATAAAAAAGGAGAGATTCCTCTAAGGTCTAAATCTAGGTTTCTTTAGTCTCTCTAATTAGTATAATAGTTTTACATGTATATTAGGGTCTTGTTGTCAACGTATATATAGGTTAACACATCCTCTATATATTAATAGAGGAGACACTAAAAAAATTCTAGGTGTCAATCAAAGAGAGTTTTAACAAATCATTAATGCTTTCAAAATATTTTATGGAAATAATATTAAAAAACCTTAATTACTATATTTCACCTAAATTATCCACCGAATTTAACTAAATTTCTTTTCTTTTGTCGACAGCACCCAATCATATTTGTGGATTTGGTTTTCTCCCAAA